TCTTCGTTTTCCATGAAAAGATCACTTCAAATGGTAATATAAGCAAAAGCTTTCATCTAATTTGAAAAAAAATTGGTCAGCTTGATGAATAAAAGCTATAAATTACATAACTTTGCAATACGTAATTATTACCAATAATAATAATATTATAAAAATTATAATAAAAAAATTTAATACATTAAAATAATTTGATACATGAGAACAAGAATTTACCCTTATCATGAATGCTTACAAAAACTGTGTGGCTTGAAATTTAATTATAATATTGTATTCTTTTGTTTCTTTTTTTTTTTGTACTTCTACTATCTACGTACTTTGTGCTTCTAATCATCCTAACTAATGAATAAAAACATCTTTCCACATTCACACAAGTTTTTGCAGAGGTTTCTATGAAATCGCATCTGAGCTTTTTCGCCATATTCATTCCTTCTTCTCTTGAAACTTCCCGTTCGGCATGTTTATCACATTGATTACCGATAAGTATAATTGGTGGTACATAATTTTTATGATATAAAATGCTATTATAAAATTGTTCTATTCTCTCAAATGTTGATCTTGAAGATACGGAATAGATGATTAAAAAGCCTTCACCAGCACTGAATAAAGAATTATTATTGGTTATTGATTATAGGCTTAAAATAAATTTCATAAACATGAAACCAATACCTGATCCATAAATTACGCAAAACAGCGTATTCTTCTATTAAATTTAATAATAATAAAAAAAAGGTTAAGGTATAACAATTTTTTATGAAGGTTAAAACCAGAACATGTTATGACTTGCAGAATATAATCTAATAAAATGTTATTCGCGAACCCTGTCCTGCAGTATCCAATATTTCTAGAACACAAGGCTGACCATCTATAACTGTCTGTTTTCGATATGAATCTTCGATTGTTGGGTTATATATCTAATTATTGACACATCACATATTCAATAAAAATGTATTATAACCTACAAAATCCGCACATAATTTATGAAAATACAAACATCTATAACATTGATAAATGAAATAATCCAATAAAAATCATTAATATATAACAGTTAGCTAGGTTTGTTATATTAGAAAAAGACAGTTAAACTATACTAACCAACAAATTGGTTTAGACATAGCTGTCATTAAAATTGTGAAATATCATTAAACCGAAGT